TACAAATAAAGATCTGTTGTTTCTAACATTTTGTGATTTTTTTTTAAATTTAAGGTGACTGTCAGAAAATAACCATGTTTTGAGGCCTTACGTACATATTTTTTCAACAGTTTCTCAAGGTATTTTCCCACCAGTAGAACAGAACCTGTGTATCYACTGTTCATTCTCTATACATTTTATTACACCTTGGAAAGTTTTATTTGCTCTTGAGCCATTTGCTCTGGAAACCCCCCTGTGGATCCTTTGAATCTTGTAGATTTATACAAGTACATCCTACAGCCTGCACATAAATACACATGCATCAAAAAAAARGRARRAAAAAAAAAGAAAAACCCACATACACGCACAATCATGCACACAGCTGCGTATGCCTGGATGGGGTTTCCCTTTAGATACCGGATAAACAACTAACTTCAAACAGTAAAGCAGGCGCTAATGAACTGGACCCTGACAGGGTTTGCTTTCGGAGAGCAGAGACCCACCCCACAATGGATCTATTCAGAGCATCTCAGCCATGGAAAGTGTTGGTAAAGTAATCCCACTGGAGTTTATGCGACCTTTTTCTAACTCTCAGTGCAGCTTTCTCCCCTCAGGCCTTTAGGGTCTGGCCAAAAACAACACTCCCCCTGCATCAGCTGATACAGGCAGAGGCTATCCATATTGACATGTTCCAAAATGGCACCCATTCACAACGAGTTCGCAAATTGATGTGGTGAGGAAAGGAACACAACGCCCTGCTTCCTCTTGCGCTGTACCTATGAGATCAGTCATGGCAACTTTAAGTCCAGGGTCAATGCTTGTTTATTCTGTGTGGCTCTGCAGCAGAGGCCATAGCTGGGTAGCATCTAAACAGGTCCCTTACCACCAAAAAATAAAAAAAATAAATAATAAATAAACCCTTCTGGAAACAATGACCCGCAGCAAATGGAGCTGATTTATTATTAATAAAATATAAGCCGTGCTCCTACTGGTTGTCTGCGTTGCCTGACAAACCTAATAAAAGTCACAACACTGCGTATGGCATTCAAGATGTTTGATGCTCTCACAAAAATGTCAGCTACTTCAAATGTTCATGGCACACCTGCTGAAACTGACTTGCTTTCGACAGCTAAGGACAGTGAGATCATCAGGTTTCATACCTGAAAATGTCATCTACGTGTTCGTGCATCTTTCAATTTTGGACTTGCTGAACATCTGTCCAAGGCGAGCGATTACCATCTATCCATATGGCTCTGTTCATTCACATATTTTTGCTGTTTGAGGCAGGAAAGCATAAATGATATGAAATACTGCCAGTGACAGGTAAAGCAATACTTTGCAATGGAAGCAGTTGTTTTCTTTTTTCCTTACAGTAGCCACTTTTCAAGAGAAGCAAAAAGTTTAAATACCTGATATCTTGTTCCAAACCACACTTTAGAACAACCCCTCTGTTAGATGTGAGGGTCAAACTTCACTGACAACCTGTATTTACGGCTATCTGACCTGACACGATGAAAAGTTTTATTTCTATCAGATGTTTCCATGCAAGAGGAGGTGAACAGAAAGGGAAAAAGCAATATCCGACTTGGCTGCGTMGTACATAATAAAAAGATAAATACACGAACTTATATATTTGAACTTCTTTTCCACTTTTTTAACTTAAGAAACTTAATAGCATTTGCTTGGCAAAATTTGTTCATTTTCTGAAGAATAAAAGATTCATTCTACCGAGTCACAAAAGTTTAAGGATGACAWAGTGTGAGCAGAGGCAAGTATAATTTCAGCAAATACAGTTACTGTTATAAATCCAGAGCCTATATTTAGCCATCCACTTTGCTCAAATACCTGGGTATAGACTCTCATCATGGCCAAATTTCTAATTATACTGACATTTGGAAAACAAATATCTTGGCAGATGCAAGTTCCTCTTTCTTGACTTGGTGTAGAATATCATAATAGCTACGTAGGTTTGCGGCATAATAATTAAACATTCTTTTAGGGAAGAAAAGGAGAAAACAGACATGCGGTGATTTTAACAGGTTCAAAGGAAGAAACTGAATCCGACCTGTAACAGTTTCCAGCCCATAAGTCAGCGCAGTTTGGGCTCCCAAGAGGCCTGTGCTGTCAAAAGCCTCACTTCTAATACAGCTTTTCAGACTTTCTGACCCCCTCAGCCTTTATCCCCAAGGACAAAACCTGTGGTTTTCTTGGACTGTAGATTCTGCAGCAGCAACTGGCATGAMGCAAATATGTGATACACAGATGAGCATTGTTCTGTAACATTATCAAACCAWTATAAGTTCTGAAGTTGGCCTAAAATCRCAGAWGAAACAAAAGAAAAATAGTAAGGTAAGGTCGTATCTTATTGTATTTATTTTTCCATTTCCAAACTACCCACMATGTGCCTTAAAGAGCACCCCCTAAATCCACCTAACCCCCCAAAGCATAAGGCTCGGCAGCATGAATGGAGCATTGTGATGCGTCTCCGTCACGGCAGCGAATGTTTTCACTTCCATTTGATCCGTCGGCAAGGCTGCTAATTGGGTAAGCGTGTTCCCAGGTCACCGGGAGGTTTCTCTTTCCATAAATACAGAGCACCAACGAAGGCTTCTACAGATGTTGTTTCCCCACCCGCTTCCAAGTGTGTTCAGCTTCAGGTAGTAGATGTAATTTATTGTGTCTAAAGCCACAGTCCAAAAGTTTTCCTTCTCTCTTTCTCTCTCCACTCTAAAGACTGTGTTTTATTTTTCTGCCCAGCACTAAAGTCGATTATTGTCCTCTATAGTTTCAACTGAGTGCCCCGGTGTCGACTGAACCGCAGGTGTGATGATGATACCGACTTCGTGTCCAGATTTGACAGCTCCAAATTATGCCATTTTCCATGTGCTCCGACACCAGCGTCAGAGTTTATGAGGTTCRGGGTTTATTTATTTGTTTTTCACGTGGAATGTACATTTCCTCTCTTTACGCAAGCACTCAACAGGAGTTCATGTGCCAGCACTAAACACCCCTGATGGAACAGAGAGCAGACAGACTCTCAGGCACGTTTGCTTCTCCCCRTTCTGTAGGGTGTGGTCAAAATGGTCAAACAAACTGTTCTCCAATGTGAGATTTATRGTTTGAGCTTGTGCGTTGGAGAGCACCCCTCTGAACTGAAGCGTCCCTGACAGTTACCCACCAGTTTTAGGCATTTTCTCCTGCACACGACTCACACTGGTCCTCCTGGGAAGGAGAAAATAAAAAGACAAATTAATTCAATCTAAAATGCAACCAGTCCTTCAATCAAAGATATGCTAATAAGGATCTTTTTGAAGATAGCTTGTATTATACTAAATAAAGTACAAGTATATTTTTTACTAGAATACTCTGTGATCTAAATGTTTCTTTGTAGCGTGTCAAGCAGCTACTTCCATAGATAATATGTCATTTAAAGAGCTTTACAGTGTTGAAAAGGCTGGCACAGATCCAAATGTGTTATTACAACACATTTATAGTTAAGGTCACATCAAAACAAAATAAAAGCTTAAGTGAGTATCATCACTGTACAGTTTCTTTTATGAAAAGAAGTTAAATTCCTCTCAAAAGTTMCCATTTCTCTCCTCTGATTCTGGTATGTGGTTAAGGCGCCCCCGTGTGGCAGAAAAACAAATATCAGAGCAAAAGAAGAGCTGCCTCAGGTAGCAATAAAATTTCAAATTATTTTTAATCTATTTGTATTTTTTTTCTACAATGAGTTATTTTTGTCCACCTAACTGAGAGGAGCATGTATGAAATAAAAAATACAGAAAGTCACCTAAAATGTGAGTGAATTTTACACCTAAAGCTAAAGCAAATTTCAAAAAAATTATCTTTAAATAAATTGATTAATTATTTATTTTTCTCAAGCCAACATTACATGGGAGTAATGTTCCTGACACTGTATGTTAGATAAACACTGCACGACTGCATGGTCTTCCCAACAGAAACCAGAAGGTGGCAAGCTTCCCACGAGATGACTGCAACAGAAGAGCAACCCACACTGCACAGGAGACACAAACAAATAGGTAAAAAGCTACAAAACTGACCATAAATCAGCAAGACTGGTTGTGTTAAACACCAGATGCACAAATGTTAAATGTTCTTGTGCAGTTTCATAAGCTGAAAAAAGGTGATAAACTAATGTGATTCATCTTGATTCAGTCATTGAGCCAGGTGGGCTGGGTCCTCTGAAGTAAGAAATTATTCATACATGGGCTTTTCTCATAAAGGCAAACAAATAATAACAAATGTCTCTATTATACGACGGGCGCTTTGGGGTGCTACTTTGCAGATGAAAGAAAAAAAGGAGCAAATCACCGAGAAAAACTCTGAATTTCTGAGATTAATTTCAGAAATTTGAGAGAAAAAAATCAAGAAATTTTCATATGAAAAAAAGTGGTAAAATAGCGACAGAAAAAAATTTAAATCCCATGATTAAAGGCAGAAATTTTCAACATTTAAACAAAACATTTTCTAACAAATCAGAAATTTACAGGAAAAAATAACTCGTTAATTTATGAGACAATAATTGAAGTTTTCAAGAATGGCTAAAGAGCGATTCTGTTTTCACCTTGAGCATATTTAATCTGCTCTAGTTTGAAAACTAAAACACATATTCATACCTGGACTATTCTACACTGATTGTAGAATATTTAAAACCAAGTGTGTGATTTGTGAAACGTTATATTTGAAGCTTCAGTAAACAGCGGGTAAAATAAGTATTGAACACGTCACCATTTTTCTCAGTAAGAGGTGCTAATGACATGAAATTTTCACCAGATGTCGGTAACAACCCAAGTGATCCATACATACAAAGAAATCAAATCATAAATGTCCAGAAATTAAGTTATTTGTAATAATGTGGAATGGCACAGGGAAAAAGTATTGAACACATGAACATGAACAAACATTGAACACAAAGGGAGGTGTAAAAAGGCATGGAAAGCCAAGACACCAGCTGAACTCTCTCAGTAATTAGAAATCAAGCCTGCCC